CTCTCCCAAGCCAACCTGCACACACTCCCCCTCTCAGCCCTCACCTCCCCCAGGCCACCCTGCACACACTCCCGCCACTTGCCACCATCTCTGCATGCTTCGGGTTTTGCCATGAAGTGTAGCTACTCAGTTCCATCACTGTCTGCTCACCATCGTGTGCAGGCAAAGACCCCTCTTCCAGCACTGGCATGTGTGTGCTGCCTGTGTTCTGACTGCTGGATGCAGAAGCCTCTGCAAGGACACCTGAGGGAAAGCAGCCCTCCTTGGAAATGGTCTTCACTGAGGATCGTCACTCGGGTGTCTGCTCTCCCAAATGCTGCTACGCTCCAAAGAAAGCCATGACAGTAGTAGTGCTGTCCAAATGGGGAGTTGGCACTCAGCCCTGCCTGAGACCCGGTGCTGACTCAACAGGCCAGGAAGAGAGAGCTAAGGGGTATGGTCCTCCCTGTGGGAAGGCAAAGACAGGCTGGTGTCAGCAGGCCCTGCACCCAGCAGGGGAACTCAGGGCCGGGGGTCAGAGAGTGACACATGGACCTCGTGGGGTCCTCCGATGGCAATGCTCTTCCGGAAGGAGAAGTCCTCATGGATAATGAACAAACCGATAACCAAAAGGAGAAACCACTGCCAACATGGGGAAGAGCATGAGCTGCAGTGTTAGAGAGACAGCTCAGGAAAATGCCTGCCACTCAAGCATGAAAGCCCAAGTTCGGATCTCCAGACCCCACATCCAAGCTGGGTGTCAGGTTCAGTGAGAGACTTTGTCTCAAATGATAAGTTGGAGAATAATTAAGAAGGATACCTAAGCCGGGCGGTGGTGGCGCACGCCTTTAATCCCAGCACTCGGGAGGCAGAGCCAGGCAGATCTCTGTGAGTTCGAGGCCAGCCTGGGCTACCAAGTGAGTTCCAGGAAAGGCACAAAGCTACACAGAGAAACCCTGTCTTGAAAAACCAAAAAAAAAAAAAAAAAAAGGACACCTAATATTGACCTCTGGCCTATACACATACATGTACATGTGCACCTGCACATATTCACATGAACAAGTACATGCATTACACACCAACACACACACACACACACACACACACACACACACACACACACACACACAGGACTGCCTGCAAGGTCCGCAGAGCCTCATCCGGGACAATTAGTCCCAGGTACCAACCTCTCTGTGGCCCTTCTCATGCCCACCTGCCTCATCTACAGAGCCTGGCTTCCTCACCAGGCATCATCTCACACTTCCTTGGCTAGAGCAGAGCATTGCAGAAGGGACTAGAAGAACCTAGGGCTTCTCTCGTCACTCTAGCTCCTCATCAGACATGGTTCGGGGGGCCACACCCCTTCTCCCCATACATGTCACCCCCAGTTTCCTCCTCCATAGCCTTTCCGTGTTTGTTCACCCTGTCTCAGGTTACAGGCCAAGTGTCCATGAAACAGAGGAATTCAGCTAAATCAGAAAGGTGGACCCTCGCCTCCAGTCAGTGGTGGCAAACGCTAGCACATAGAATGTGCTTCTTTAATGTTTAAAACAAAATCATTATCATTTGTTACTAAACAGGGCCAAAAATTAGTTAGAAAAGTGATATGTCTTTCCCTGTTGTTGATAGCCCCAACACCATGCAAGTTGGTCCTACACATCCCCTTAACTGTCAGGATCGTGAGACGTTGCTCTCTCAGGCTGCCTAGGTGCACCCTGCTCTGATGCAGAAACATGTTCAGTTGCCTCCCCACGGCTCTTCCCGACTCTGTAGCACAGTGCAAGGACCAAGGTAGGAAGACAACTTGCTCAGGAGGGAGCCTATCTGCAACATAAACACACTGCCATTCAGGACACAAAACCCGCTTCAGGGCTAACTCACCTTGCAGTGGGGTTCGAGGGACAGACCTTCCAGTGTGTAGGCACCAAGCTCACCCTTCCCTCTTCGAGATCAAATCATGACTTAAGGATATCTCAGCAAGAGCCAAGAATATCGCTGCTCCTGCTGTCACCAAGAGCGCACCGAGGCTACCACATAATCTGCTCAGTTTTGATGATCATGATGTCAAAATGGACAACTAACCCCAAGTTACCTACACACAGTAGGGTGTACCTGGTATGTGGGAGGGATGTTATCAATGAAGACATGCCTGTGATGCCATGAGTCCTCACAGTGGGACTGCCCCGGAGGATAATCTACCCAACAGGATGTTTCCCAAGTAACAATATGTGGGCCATAACAGACACAGTGGAGACAAGGACTTGGAAGGACCTAGGAAAGATGCCAGGCTTCTTGCTTCCCTTGCTTCCTGCCTGGGTAAGGCCAGACTCTTCAGAAAAACTCCTAAGGGATTACAGTGCAGTGTCCAAATCATGAGAAGTTCTTCAAAGGACCCCTGCAGAATGTATTCCTGTTCATGAGATGTCACAGGGGCCCACAGGGAAAGATTATTTCTGATCCTGTAGATTAAAGAGACAAATACTGGGCATCGGCAAGGGATGGCACTCAAGATGAACGGCAGGAGGGGGCACACAGAGGAAGAGTCCCCTGTAGTCCCAGGTCAAGACTGAACTACAGTTATCCCTTGAAAAAGCTTGTGAATTCTTGGATTAAAAACCAAACATGGGGGCTTGCAGGTAGCTGCCCTAGAACTAGAGCGATGGGAGAGCCATGTGGGCAAACAATGGAGCTGCACAGCCCTTGCTGCCTGGACTGAGAATTCTGGACCTGCACAAGGAAGACAAAGTCAGGGACACTGTGATCAGCACACCTAGGGCACTTCAGTCCACTCCAGGAGATGGTCACGCTTCTCTTGGCGATCCATAGCAAGGAGTGGGTTCAATGGGTCCCCAGCCATCATGTGTGTACTGATATCTGAACAATTAGAGCAATTGAGCACACTGCTCCCTGAAATTCCCTACCCTGAATCTATCACTGAGTCGTGCATCCATGATGGTGGAAACTCAGGCAACCCTTGGCTTAGACTTTCTCACCTCGAGAGCAAAGGATGTGACTAGAAGAGATGTTCACCTACATGCTGCTGTTGACAGAGATGATTGACACTTGGGCACCCAGGACTTCTATTTCACCCTGAGGATACTGATCCTCCATAGAAACACCTGATGACTGCATACAGGTGTCAGAACACCTGGGCATACCCGGGCACACCTGGCACATCCAGACCCTGATTGTCTTGTGAAATGGAGTTGTCATGGGGATATCTCTGTGGCTTTATTATTGCAGGGTTCACTCAGCCAAACCATGGCATGAAACTAAGCTAAAAGGCACTCCACGTGGCTAATAATCATACACATCTGACTCTTGCTGGGAGCATGCTCTCACTACCAGAGAGGTGTGTATGGGAGAGGCTGTGTGTGCTAAACGCCTTGGTTCAGCCTTTTCATGGGGTCAAGATATCATGGCAGTCTATAGAACACCACACATATACCCAAGTTTTACTTTCCAATTTAAGCTACATTTCTCTCTTGTTGAGTTTCCTTAACTCACATTTTGTCAAATGCAATTATGCACCTGTTAACCTTTACTGAAATCCCAAAAGGAATATATTTACTCTTTGAATCACCTCACAACTACCAAGAATGACTGCACTCTAATATTTTAAGAGAGCCATAGGCCACAGAATTTTAAAAGGTTCTATCCAGTTATCCACATACAAATCATCAATTTGTGTTCAAAACCTCTCTACTGCCGTTTATCTTTTTTTACATAATGGAGGACACTGTTTCTTACCTCACTGGTCTCAATGACCCTAAAAGCTGTGGGGGATGTTTTTACCCTCCACAGACATCCTGAGATGATGAGCTGCTTCTCACAGCCAGGAAGACAGGGCCTGTACCAGTGCTGAACATCCCAATTATGTACAAACAGTACTGAGAAAGCCGTGTTTCCAGAAAGCAAAGCGTTCCTTTGCATAAACAGTATCTTTCTTTCAGGATTTAAACAGTTTCTGCCCCACCCCCAAGAAAGTATTTTGTGGGATACACAAAGAAGGAAAACCAATCCATGCCCCTTCAGTCTGGGGGCCTTGGGTGAGATGCACCCACAATGCTTTGCTCCCTGGCATAGGAGAGAACCTGAGCTCACTCTGAGGTCACTTGCTTTCTGGAATGATTCTAGAATTATTCAATGGGAACCCCAGGTACTCAGGCCCCCAGGCCCTCTGCCAAGGCTTCTAAGGACACCTTAGACAGCAGCCCCCAGCACTCACTGAAAGACAGGTGTGGTGGCATGCCCGTGAAGGAGCTGACCTCCAGTTGACTGAGCCCTCTGAGCAAGTCTAGAGGAAGGTGAGTCAAGACTGGCCTCTGTGCTCTTTCTTCCGGAAACACAGCAAGGTGCAGCAAATCCACTCATGTTTCATTTAAAATTACATACAGGGACAGTTGACTAGCACCCTGGAAATGATATGTGGAGGCTGAGATAAGGGGAGAAAATGAGAAAAAAAAACTCAGGGAAAGTCTATATGGACAATACAAGTACAGATACAAAACACAGGCTTAAGAAATTTGTGGTCTGATTCTTAGTGAAAATACATTTAAGATTCACTGGAATTAAAAAAAAATCACCATGTGATATTATTTTAATTCTCTTTGAAATTGGTGCATTGTGACAAAATAATAGCAACTAAATTATGTCTCTGCGTTGATATAACTAAAATGTGCATTTAACATAGAATAAGAGTAGTTAATATGTTTGTGTTTATAAAGTCCTTGCAAAATTCAAGCATCACGTGATCAGGAGGAAAACAATTCCAGCTAATTCCAATATGAATTATAATGACAGTGCTCAGCAAGCAGCATGGATTCGGATGGTGCAAGGTACAGTGGGCACAATTAACAGGTAACAATGGAGAGGAGATCTACCTGGAAGGGCCTAGCACAGGGCCCAGTAATTAGTGATCACTCTAATTATTTTTAAAGTAATTACCCAGATACAAGTTTCAGTAACAGCTCAGTTCTTAACTAAACACAGAAATGCAAAGAGCATCCGAAAAGCAGGTTTCTACATTACAAAATGCACATCATATGTATTCTATATTATAGATTCTATACTATATTCTAATGCCATATTACATTTTTCATCAGGTTTTAAAAAGGGACATCAGAAGGGCTATGGTCAGAGCTTGCTTGGTAAAACACTTCCCACATAAGCTTGAGCACCAGAGTCTCGGGTCCAGAAGCCAACACTCACAATGAGAAGGTGAAAACATGTGCATCTCTAAAATGTGATGGCCAGCTAGCCTGGCCTGATTGGCACAGTTCCCGGCCAATGGAAGCCCCTGTCTCAAAAACCAAAGTGGACAGTGTATGAGGAATGACACCCAAGGCCTGCACACACACACACACACACACACACACACACACACACATACACACACACACAGCACGGCACACATCAATTAAAGAGTACGTGTGACAGGACAAATATAAAGAAAGAATGAATTACATCATTGATGTAGAAACTGGAGCAAAGCGAACCCCGCTTTGGTCGCTCTTCTCATGAATATGGCCTGTGTACCTCAGTCCCAAGCAGTTTCCTTACACCCCTGCTTGGCTTTGCATGCACAGGCAGTCTCCATTTTAAAGAACCTATAGCATGCCATTACATTGAGAAGCAAAAGTTGAGATTGAGGTAGACTGGAAGTATCCATCAGCTAGCGATCCTTCATCCCTCTGGTGTCTTCCCTTGGGTAAAGGCTAATTACATGCCTTTCAAAAGCTCAAAGACTAAAGAAATTGACCAAAGAGTGAATTACAAGAGTCTATACCCTGTATAGAAAGCATTGGTAAGGAAATATGTTTGTCATAAAACATGCCAAATGGGCCGCCTTTTCAAATATTATTATTCAAATTCAATGGATCAACTGCAGAAGGTGTTGGCAAACTAGGTATGAGTTTTATCTTATCAGGGACCCCTTCATGTCCATCCATTCTCATCATTCTCCTTTTAATATTTCAGCCATCCTTTCCTAGTCTCCTGCCCCTCTTATATACACTAATATTTAGAAATGTTTTCAGCCATCCCAGGGGGAGGCTGAGACAGGAGAACGGCCATGAATTTGATGCCAGCCTATGCCAAATGGTGATTCCAAGCCAGCTAAGGCTACAGTGTGAGACTGTCTCACAGAAAGGAGAGAGAACTTTTTGGGGGGACAGGGTCCCCTTGAACATGAACCACTTTCGTTTTGTAGTGTCAGCAGCTACTGGGTCAGGCTGTGGCCTTTGTTCATAGGCTCCATTTTCTGGGTGTTGCCCAATAAATAGCTAAAGGCCCTGAGGATGCCTCCCAAGTGCAGCGAGAGTTGTTCCCATAGGCTAAAACACTTGCCAGTGGCACCAAGTGTAAGTGGTGTATGTTTAACCAAGATCAGAGTAGGTTAGAAAAAGTTAAACAAAACAAATCTTATTCTTCAATCAGAAAAAAAAATGAAGCTGGGGGTTAAATATAAACAGGGAGACAGAGAACTTAGACTGGCAATAAAACGCAGTTTCAAACTGCAGAACCCTAACAACAACAGCAACAAAAAACATGTTAACACTCCCCGTAGGGTGGGCTAGAGAGCTCATGCAGTAAAGGCATTTGCTGCCTAGACTGTCAACCTGAGTCCGATCCTGGGACCCACAGGGCAGAAGAAAATCAACTCCTACAAGCTGCCCTCTGACCTCTGCATGTACACAGATCATGGCACGGGTCCGTCACACCCACCCCATCCCACCCCAGCCCACCCCTGCCGCTTCCACCTATTTTGGAACCGAGAAAGTCCTCCCACAGCAAGACGGTGTTTCTTGTAAGGTAATCCTGCAGGAAAAGCCGCCGGTCATTGCACATGCTCAGTCAGTCTAAACCATTTCTTTTTCAAATATCAGTCGTGAGTACAGGGAGCTTGGGGTATGTCCCAAGTTTTATGCGTTTTATTTCTCCCAAGCTCATGGAAAAGGCATTCATACTGCAGTGTTATTCATCCATGCTGGCACCCATGGTGCAAAGGAATTTTTACCTGGCGCTTTACTGACGCCGTACCAAAAACCCTCACAACTTCAACAGCATTCACATGCAGCAGAAGCAATCTTGTTCACTCTGCCACACTGTTCTGTTTTCTCCCAGGCTGAGAATCACAACCACAGAAACGGAGCGAACACATAATTAAGAGGGATCCTGGCCTCACTGACACCAGCAGCATCAGGTTTATATCAAGCAAGATCCTTCCTACCCACACAGTACACATGTCCTGTTTTTCCTGGTTGGAAAAAGATTAAAGAACTGGAAATGTGCAGACAGACATACCCCTCCTGACTCGATACGGTCCCGCTGCGCTGTAACAAATGAAAGTTTCACATGCAAGAATAAAAATTAAAGCTCCCAGTTTTATACAACTCACTCCAAACTGAGAGTTAAGAAAAAGTCCCACAAACAGCAGCCCCGCACCCTTCAGCGAGCAGCCAACCATTGCAGGAACCCAGCTACCAAGCAAGCACAGCTTCCTCTCTGAGTGCCCCGTTGTTAGTGAGCTAAGTGCCATGGGAGAATATTTCTGTTCGAGCTGTGTTTCCAAGGGGCGTGAAGTGCTTTCCCTGAAGCTGCTGAACAGTGTGGAGATCTGTCTCCTTTCTAGTGGCTGCCTGCCCTCAGGTGGGAAGGGCACAGCTGCTCTATCACCTTCACAGTACCTGAGACACACACAGGTATGTTCACACACATGGGTGGACACACATGCTCAGTCACATGCACTCCCGGGTCTCATGTACATGTATTTCCCCTCACCCTCACATTCATTCACTCTCTATACACATGCTCAGTCACACACAAGTACATGTACTCATACATACACATTCACACCCTCACACATTCATACGTGCTCATGTACTGACATTCATACCCCTAATCGTACACGTACACGCACACTCACACATATTCCCTCATGCACTCACTCACACTTTCACACATGTCAAGGCTCACACTCACACAAGTACTCCCCCACCAATCCACATACTCTCCCACAACCTCAGGCTCAGACACATACCCACACACACATTCCCAGACTCTCACATATGTTCACACTCCCGCACGTGCTCCCACACACAATCACATACTCTCCCACAAGCTCAGCCTCACACCCACACTCCCACATACTTTCACACTCAAACACATGTGCTCACATGCAACCGTGTCCTTAGTCACATGTATTCACACCATCACACATATACATTATGTCAGACTCACACATGCTCACACTCACATGTCCTTACACACACACACACACACACACACACACACACACACACACACACACACACACTTTTTGGTGAGGCCGTGATACTTGCTGTCACTGTGGTTTAACCAGTTCATCAAAAAGCTTATTTTTAAAATGGAGTCATCTTTTAATAATATCTTTTATTGAGTCTTATATTAAATACTCGACAGAGGGCTGGACTGAATTTCCATTATTCCATGTCATGAAAAAGTTTTAGAGAAACAGAGTTCTTTCTGCTTTAATGACAACTCTATCTGATAAAGGTGTCTCTAGCATTTGTCACCCATAAATAGTTGACTCCTCAATTTTCTAAGCAGTATGCATTTAAATAACCTCAAACTCTATGACACACCAAACCAAAACAGTGCCTCAGAATTCATGGTGGCATTAAAGAGTTCCTTGTTTCTTTAAAATCATCCCCACCAGAGTGAAAAAGTTCTGTGCTCTCCCCGTTGACGCTTTCATCTACTGTAAACTTTTGGGCATCTGGTAAACACAGTATTTGCTATTTTATCCACAAAAGCATACACATATCCCAGGACTAGGGAACACATCAACAGTCGCTTACATTTCTGAGGTGAGGCCTAAGAGGTAAAACGTGCAGTGACATTATGTAAAGCCGAGAGATGTAACTTAACTAGGGAGCTGTTTCAGTGGGGTCTGTGGACAGCAAGGAAGGATGCCTCACTGAACAGAGGCCCATCTCTCCTAGTAATCACCCTGACACCCTCCTCCTAACACCCCCATACCTAAGTCACCCCCACACCTGCTCTCAGCCAGATTCCCACCTGGGCCCATACCCCAGGGGCCAGCTGACCCTAGAGGCAGACGACTAAGAAGCCTGATGCCTCTTCTCCTCCACTTTCTCCGCAGACCCTCCTCTCCATCCCCAGTCCCCTCCCTCTGCCTGCCTTCCTAAAATCCACTGGCCTTTTATCCTCCTGGCCCTCAAATGCTCTGACTGAGCTTATCCAAAGCCCTCACTCTTAGCAGGTGACCCCATTTCCTCCCAGACCCAGTTCATCGCTCTGGAGAGTAGCAAAGGTCCAAAACACAGCACTACCCCCTACCTCAGGTGCCTTGGCCAGCGTTAGAAGGCTGCCCTGGCCTGTGAAGGTGGCATAGGGGTCCGGGACACCCCAGGAGGCAGCACCTGCAAATG